CATGTATGAAATGTAACTGTTCAAAAAAGTGATGGGCCTCATGTAATTTGATATGGTTCTAAATAAAGGCAAACTTGATTTGAAGATTCCTAGGTCCTCTTTTGGTAGAGATTAGAAAGAGAGGTTGTCCAAACATGTCCCCAATAGTCTAGCTCTAGCTCATCCAAAGCTTTATCTCTTTGCTCTCCTTTTATGCGGTTGTGTTGGTTCCTTGGAAAGTGAATGAAAAAAAGGAAAGTTGTGACAAAAAATTTTCATAAAAATGCAACAAGGGCTTTCCCACTGAAATACAAAGCACCCACAGGCCACAGCCACAAGATGGGCTGATGGGGGGGGATCCTTTCAATCAGTCATTTATTTACTGATCCAGTCCATCTGAGCCCTATATCCCCACATTTGTTGAATCCATGCTGGCTGATGTTGGTCACCCAACAGTTTTTAACTTTTGAATTATATATATATAGAGAGAGAGATGCTGAAACTGGAAATTAAAGCGCTCTCATCTGGCTTTGTCTGGGTCCTCTTGCTAGATCTGGTTTCCTGTGGTTTGATCAGGTTTACCAAAGCCTGGTCAATGTTCATCCAGAAAAGAAATAACTAACAAGAATTGGGCAGTCTTGCACTGCTACTAAGTATGAGAGCTGGTACAACTAGAAAACTGGATATAGACAATTGGGTTAAGGCATTAATGCCCGTTCACTTTTCGGTAAATTATTTATCCATCATTTACCTGGGTAAGTATTTTCTAGGAAAGACTTATCCGAGTAAGTGCCTTTACCCATGTTCTTTTATTTTTTATGTAAATAAGGCAATTATCATTTTAACCATAAAAATTCATTATTAAAAGGAGCATTTTTGTCCCATTCAAGTGTTGATAATTTTTCCCCTATGTGGGAAAGTTATTTATCCACCAACGAGATGGGTATCACTTACCCAAGTAAATAATAGCCAGGAAAATAAACTTTCCCTGATCCTCACATAAATCTGAAAAAAGAATATATGATTCTTGGTCAATGCAACTTTCCCCCTCTCAAAATCTAGAAAAAGAACGCCCCCTAAGTGGAATGTTAGACATTCAAGTTGATTGGATTTCACACAATGTTGTCCAAACGCAATGTATTTTAGTGCAGCTGTATGACATGCGGTTTGACCCAACCTATTATATCACTACTGATGAGGGGTAATTTGGACCGACCTGTCAACACACGGACACTTGGATCGGCCTGATGACATGGATGACAACTCAGTATTCCCTACCACCTCAGCAGGCCAGGTCACCTCGGGCACCTCGGCCAAAACCAAAGTCCAAGCAGCCAAATAATGGCCCGACCTGCCGAGGTGACACGTAGCCAACTTCTAGAAGCTAGCCAACTGTCTCCGACCTCTCCGAGATCACGCCGCGCATCCGCAAGCCTTATCCTTACCCCGCCCAGATCGGACGGACTCGATAAGCCTTATCAACTCACACGAAGTCAACCTCCGAGTGTGGAACGAACTCCTGATAGTGTGGGTCGAGGATCTTGGAGGTATTTCGTAAGACCTACGGCAGCTCGACTATATAAGGGCTTCAACCCTAACGCTACAAGGTACGCACGATTATTTGTTCACTAGCCTTCTAGCTTACAAACCTTCAGCTCACAAACAACAGTTACTAACTTAAGCATCGGAGCACCCACACTAGGTAAGCCACCCCGGGTCCTCTGATCTCTCTTTCCTGCAGTTCGACCGGCCAGCCTAGCAGACCAATGTCCGAGCTGCCCTCTAGTTAGGAGTAACCAAATCGTGCACCATCAACTACCAATAGGACTGTCCATAGGTAGGGTTTAACTAATGGATTCAAATCGACCAAACCGATTGTAAAGGTTCTGGTTTCATGATTTTGTCATGATTAATGATTGGGTCAGTTTCTATTTGTGTCTGTCTATAACGGATTCAAACTTAGAACCAATTTTTTATTAGACATATATATATAATGTTTTTTTTTTATTTTCTTACCATTTTTATCAAATTTAATGTTTGAAATGATAAATTTGATAGATAATAAATAAGTTAATATTAGTTAAAATTTTTTAATTTAACAACATATAAATAATTTAGTATTTTCATTATCAAAATTTAAAATTTAAGTTATTGTTTAAATAAACAAGTATAATTTCAGTAGAATTGGGTCCATCTTCTAGAACCAATAGACCGGACTATTAATCGGGATGGTTCTGGCCTCTGGGTATGTGATTTTATCCCAATTAACAATCAGTTCAGGACTGATTAATTCTACCTAAACCCAACGCATTGACCATCCTAGCTACCACAATTGTTTTTGTCCCGTTCCATGTTTATTGGCAAAAATGACCCCTGTATATCTGAACAACTTTTATTGGTAGCAACTAAGAAAGAAGGGCAAAGTATGTAGTTAAAATGTGGGCCAAAATCTTGGGTCTGGGGACACATATATATATAGGACCCATAAATGGGTCTGGTTCCCCCATAATTTGCCAATTCTCCCACCTTTCAAGATTCTTATTGAAGCATCATTTGGTTCTTAGTCATTCAGCTTGAGCTAGCCTTGGCCACATCAACATGAACAAAGGATTGTAACTGTTCAGTTTTATTGCATTTGATTGTTCTATAAATGATGCTCAAATCATACAGTTAAAAAGCAAAAGACAAACCTTCTTTCTAGCATATATAGCATATCCACTGTCTTGTCTTGAAACGTGGGATGGGAGCCAAATTATATTTCAGGGATCAAGCAATTAGTTGCATCCACGTACCCTGGTTTCTAAATAACAATTTTATTCATGAAGATGTTATCCTGTCATACATATTTTCATACCATTCACCCAATGACCTTCTTATGGTGTCCCTCATCACATTGACCAATAAAATATTTCTGAAATCCTAAATAAAAAATATACCCATCATGTGTATCTAATATTTTGTATGACCAAATCATCCCTACTAATCCCTAAAGTGCTTTTCAGCTTTTCCTTCCTATTTATAAAATATGTTCACTAATAAATGAGTCTGATTTCAGAACTTGGACTCATCCTCACTTGTCTCTTACCAAACTCATATTTGGAAAAAATAATAATAATAAAGTTAATGCTTTGCATGGTAGATTTTTAAGGAGAGAAGCTCCTAGCTTAGGTTTGGGTTCAAATCTCACTTTGGCATTCTCAACAATTGACCATTTACCTGCTTGCCCAATGCCCACCAAAAAGATATTTGCCAGGTGGAAGGATGATATGATATAGAGGGTCCAAACGTCCAATACCTATCTAATTATAATTGTGTATTACACTTTCACCACTAATTATAGGCTATAGCCCTTGAATTTTATTTTCCTATTTCTAGTACAAAAAGAAGGGAAAATAACCATGCCTCCCCTTATTACAATGGTCTTTTGAGCTGAAACCTCTATATTTGAATAATAGGGCAACATGAAGAACCATGGACAAGCTTTGGACCACCACCCATGAAAACCACAGATTTACAGAATTTAGAAGCTTGTGGCGTCTAAACTAGTTGACAACTTGGGTGGGCCTGGGTTGAGCATTTATTAAAGGTTAAGAGGGCCCATGCAATGGAAAAGCTTCAAATTGGGTGGCCAATTTGCACCTCAATAGGTCTAAATAGATCAGGAGCAGCCCAGTTCCTCCAATCCACTGTAACTTCTCATTCAGAAGTTTGGGAGTTCTTTGGTTTGGGTTCCAAGGGTGGTCCACCAATCTCGATGGGATAGTGGTCAACAGCTGTATGGTTTCTTGTATTGAGATGTTATCTTGGAGTCAGGAACTAAAACATGGATGCATAAAGGAAGAATCTGAAAGGACCACCATTACAAAGAGTTGTGCCTTACAAAAAAAAAAAGAGTGCTTGAATGTTTTCATTTATGAGAAGATGCTCCCAATGCACGGCTGTGAAGTGTTGTGAAGATGATGTGAGGAGGAAATCCGGATTCATATGCTCTTTATCTGATAGGAGGGTAGAGTCCAATGAAAGAGTGGTTTCTTCTAAGCATTAACAAGCAGATGACCATGGCCTTGGGCTGCCAATGTTGATTGTTGCATTCTGATTTTCTAAAACCACCAGCCCATTACCTGCCAGCTTGGGCCATCTTCCAAATCAGTGATGACTATCTTCTTTTGAGCATCATTAAGAAAATAGCCTTGGGCTACCACTGCTGCATTCTGATTTACCATAACTACCAATCCATGACCTAGACCTGACTAGCATGGAACAGCTTCCAACTAGCAAACATTAAGGAGTGAAATGAGAGATTGTTTACTTCTGAGCATTAACAAGTAGATGATAGCATTGCATTCTGATTTTCTTAAAACTACCCGTCCTCATGACCTAACCCTGACCAGCCTGGACCAGCTTCCAGTTAACAAGCATCAGTGATCAACTCCAACCAACCACACATCAGCCCTGGAGCCAAGGCCAGCCTGTGAAGGTCTCTGCTGGCTAGTTGCTCCAAAACCCACCCACCCCTTGAAACTACGGTTACAAGTTCTCTTGAAGCAACTTATATATACATAATATTAGATAATAGATATAAAGCTTTCATTCCCAAGTTATGTCATGATGATGATAAGGATTAAGGATAATGATAATGTTAATTTTTATAGAATACCATCAATAATTAAATTAAATACCCTCTTAGGGTATAGGGTCATAGGGTTAATTTTTATAAAGCTTTCATTCCCAACTCTCATTTACGATTTTCCATTGACCTACCTACTACTGTATAGCTGTTGGGGTACAGTATTAATTCCATGACTCCATGTCCATATCTAATGACTTTTCTTCCACCCCTAATAAAATAAAGCAAGTAAATACAGTGCAACCATCATCACTTCTCTTTCTTTATACTGTAAATTGTAAAAACAATGTAACTCTCCTCTCTATGTACAGAGAGCAGGGCAAAACTATGAAGAGCGTACAACACGCGTCTAAGCATGGCAGGTAAAGCTTTGAAGTGTAAGGTCGTCTTCGCACATAAAAACAGAATAGTCGCTCTCAGAACGATTCGTGCAAGTGATGAAAAAAAAAATGAAAAAGAGGAAAGCCAAAGATGAATTAATCTCACAGTCACACCTGCTGGTTGGGAGTTGGGGGATTGAATTGATGATCACTGTTACTGATGGTCATGGACCTTGTGGTTGGATTTGTGGATAAGCTAAAACTAAAGAACACGCATGCTCAAGCTCAAAGTCGGAGATTGTGACCACCAACCCACCAACACAATACCCAGAAAGAAACAAAAAAACCAATCAAAAAAAAGAGAGAAGAGATTAAATTAGGCAAGCAGCATTACTACACCTTACTCCTCCAACCCCCAATCTTAAGCGCGGCTGCTTCCTACCCTCATTGGTTTCTTTACCTATTCACACCCCCCCCCCCCCCCCCCTTCCCCCCTCTACTGACAGGGAAAAAAAATGGAGGTTGTGGTCCTCACAATTCCCTCCCTCCCTTTTTCACCTTTTTCTACTGCCTTCTTCTTCTTCCTCTTCTTTGCAAGTATCGTCTCTGTTCGACCTTTCTGTTATTCATCAGTTACATCCGATAATCATTCTCACTGAATGGAAAAGATTATGCCAGACGGGAGGCAGAGCTTGATCAAGGACAAGGCAAAGAAGGAGGTGGTGGCGGAGGAGGAAGGTGATGAGGAGGAAGAGGAGGTTGGTGGGTTCGAGGACGACAAGAGGAAGAGGACTACTGTCGTATCTCCACCCAGGAGGAAAGGCTCAGCTGGGGGAGGTGGGGTTGCCCCGCCTTGTTGTCAGGCGGAGAAGTGTACTGCTGATCTCACCGAGGCTAAGCGCTACCATCGCCGTCATAAGGTCTGCGAACAACATGCTAAAGCTCCGGTAGTACTTGTTGCCAGCCTCCGCCAACGGTTCTGCCAGCAATGCAGCAGGTCAAGATCGACGGAACCCTAGCTTTTGCTTCCACATTTCTGGCTTGCTATGTTTGATTATAGTTGTCGGAACTACTTTTTTGGGTGGGTTTTACACCCTTTTTCTCAATTGGGAATATGGTGCTTGTAGTTGTAACCTTAGTTATCTAGTTGAATTTTGACATTAGCCAATCGAATTGAAAAGGGGGAGAAATTACTCTTCTGGTTTAGACCTTTTACATCTTATTACTAGGAATACCCTTCGCTACTAGCTGGCTGGTTAATTACAGTAGGCATTTTAAATTCTTGCAAATTCTAAAAGAGATCCCTTCCAATTTGCTTTGGATCTGCATGTATGTGACTGTAGCCTTTAGTTTTGGTATATTTCCATGGTAGAGTCTTGAATTCCTTTTATCTGCTCATGTTAAAGGGTTTCCTTGCTTTTAGCTTTGTTGGGGTTGTTAGTTCTTTCAAAGTGGTTGAGAAGGAACCATTTTTGTTCTCGAATTCAGATAATTAAAGCATTATGTTTCCAGAAAATTTATGGCACCAGTGATTTCCATGCACAAATTACACTAAAGGTTTCAACCTGTGCAGAAGTTCTCAGTACTTCTTCATCCATGAATTTTTATGGTCAGTTTCAGTTTTATGACATAAGGTGGGCTCGTGTATCAGCGATTGGATATTTCAATCATGGATTGAATCCCTTTCTCCCATAACCCAATCTCCACATCTTCATCAAATAAAAATGGAATCCACAATCTTTCATCTTTCATTTTTACCTTTAACATCAAATATTTTGAAGATATTTCTTAGTAACGAAATTGTAACAATCAACCTTGATACACTATAAAATTTGCTGTGTTAAATGATCTCCGGAGTTGCTGATTTTGTCGAGAAAAAAGGTGAAAGACAATATTCGGTTTTCTCTACATCTGGAATCTGTATGTTGTCCTAATGTTCTTTTGAACAGGTTCCATGAGCTATCAGAGTTTGATGAAGCTAAAAGGAGTTGCCGTAGACGCTTGGCAGGACACAATGAGCGACGAAGAAAGAGCTCTACTGAATCTCATGGAGAAGGCTCAAGCCACAAGGGCGTGGTACCTCAGCTGAAGGAAAACCATTGCAGGCAGGCTGATCAAAGTGGGAGGATGCAGGTACCCCATACAGGATCTACCACTTATAAACATTTTCAGATCAGATAAGATCTAACCATTCATCCCTCAGCATGCTCTCTCTCTTCTGTCATCCCAATCTTCTTCTTTATGCACTGATTACAGTGCCTTATATATAGTGAGGAGTTGTATCTAAGGGAGACAAAAATCAACAGCATTGTAATATCATTTCATGGTCATGTTCTATTTGCCACTTTCAGTAGTAGGCATGAACTATTTGATGTCTTAAAGTTAGTGTTCATGTAATAGTTTCAGTTTCAGTGAATATTCACAACTTGTTACGCCTTAAGAGTAATCAGTTCTAAAAATAAGCCGCCTTGAGTGGAAATTTTGGTACCTACCATTTGAGGAGTGATAAAAAAATGTCTCAACTCAAGGAGTACCATTAGCTTCAATGCTTGAGGAACATTCTATATGGTTCAAAGTATCGATATGCCCGTGTATCGGCAGAGGTGTATCGGTACTAAAAACCATGAACATTTATATATTTTTTCTTTTTTTTTTCTTTTTTTTCAAAACTTGGTTTTTGGGGTATTTTTAAGTGTTTTGTTTATTAAAAAGGGGTTCACAAAATACCTATAAATAGATGTACTGAGATTCCAATGATACGGTATGATACACCTGATACGGGGCATATTGTATTCAAAAGAATTCAAAATTTATCTAGCTATTATTGCAAATTAATCTAGAAATATTCTCATTTCCAGGGAGAGATGAAATATGAAACAGATTAAGATTTTGTGAACACTTCTGAGGACAGAGGACTTCAAAATACATGAGTCATGTATCATATCGTTGGGGAGTTCACAAGGGTGCCGCCCCACAACGTCTCACAGCACATTCCCGCCATGTATTGGAAACATCTCCCGATAATAGTACCAAAACCGATGATGTCATCACCGGGAGATGTTCCCAATACACAGCTACACCTGTTTACAAGTGTTTCAGGAATCTTTTTTTAATAAAACATCCCAAAAAACCAAGTTTTGAAAAAAAACTAAAAGCTAAAAAAATGTACAAACGTACATGATTTTTTATACCGATATGTCTCTGCCGATACACAAGGCGTATGATACTTTGAACCATACAATCAAGAAAGACTGCTATATTTCCCAACGTTATCATCTGAAAGCTTTAATTCCGATATTTTGTTAATTAGATTAGATACATTGAGAGCTTGTACTGAAAAATGTTTAGGTTAAAGCTTATAACAAAATCATTCAATTTCAGTTTAGGTGAAAGCTTATAATTAAAAAAAAAAAGATAAAAACAAACCGAACGTCTCTTTTCATGAGTCCCACAGTCCACGTTGTCTGGGGAGCGAAGAGATCCCAATTCATTCCCATGAATTTGCGTATAAAGTCGTTGTTTAACTAGGATTTTGGTACACAAGACAAGCGAAGTGATGAATGATCTCTTTAGTAGACCTGGGTGGAGCCAATTTCTTAGTGGATGTAATCATCATTGAACCAAAGCCATTCACTCTCAGTGTTTGCATGTGCAGTGTCGTCTTTTCTGGTGTCAGGTCAGGAATGGAGCTAGCCGTATTGTTAGTTTCAAATTCAATTCATAAGAGGAAAAATCTAACCCAGGCCAATTGTGGTGTCTGGGTTCTAATACCACATATGTTGGTGATAGCTTTTCGAACTTCAAAGGCATGTAGAAGTGGAATGAAGTCACTTTCATATCATTTTAGGGCGCGTTTGGTTTTCAGGAATAGGGGTCCGGAATCGGCCATTCTGATTCCATCTGTCAGAATCCTATTTCTGTTTCTGGTGGAATGACATTCCCCTTTTTTTGAGAATGAAATCTCATTTCAGTTTATTCTAAATTCCATTCCAATTCTTATACGAACCCAATAGAGTATGAAAATAAACCATTCCGATTCCAAGTTTTCAACTATAAACCAAACGGACCCTTAATTCTATAAGCATGAGCTTTAAAAAAAGTGAAAATTCCCCATCAGTACCTGTACTTTGGCTTGAGTGACAATTTGGTCAAACTTTAAAATGTGACAATTCAATACCTAAACTTTCAAAACGCGACAATCTAATACATATCGTTAAATAGACCATCGGTTATATATGTCACGTAACCTCATGTGTGATTTAAAACTTTTAAAAATATCAAAATTACCCTTAAAAATAGAACACTTTATTCATCATTTTCTTCTTCAAAATATGAAACAGAACCCAAACTCTATGTCACCGAGAGAGAGAAAATAAAATCTGCTTGAAAAACTAAATTGAGAGAAAGCTTTGGGGCATCAGTCCTGAAAATCCCAGTCTTGGACCAAATTGTCACTCAAGACAAAAAATCTATCTCCATTCTGGGTTCTCCACTTGTATTACTATTACCTCAAGGCGACAATAGCTTCGATGTGCGTGCCGAATGTGCAAGAAGAAACTGTATAACAAAACCATTTTTTATGCAACATTTGCTGCTGCCCTAAGTATGCAAGAAGCAACTGTGCTTAATTTCTTCACAGCTCCAAAGCTCTGCTATGCAACGTATCTCCCTCTGTATCCGTGTGTCTCTGTCATTATCTCCCCTATATTACTCTATTCTGTTCTAAAATGCAAAACCATTTTTTATGAATTCAACCATCTCAACTGGGTTTCAAGCAGCACCTAAAGAGAGCAAGGCTGGACTATCCGATTGAGAGGGGAAGAGTAGGGAGGACAGTTAGTGGGGGTCCATTTCATTTTATGTATCTATGTACGATTTATAAATATAATTGCATGCTATTAATTTAAGTGGATGACCAACATATGAAAGAGGGCGGGGCAATAAATTGAGGCAAGGGGTATTGGTGTTGGTGTTGGTGTGTAGCTGACTGGTCCAATTTTATCTGCTGTATTTGTAGAAGATGTAGAGATAGTGAAGCTTAGCTGTAGGGTTATTTTTGTACTTTTACTTTTCTTTTCTGTATATCTCTCTTTGTATTATAACTCTCATGTATATTAAGGGCAGATTTGTCCTTTTACAACTTAATATAAATATTTCTTTTAGGGTGTCGACTGAGACATGTTGTCACACCCACCATTTGGCTGTGTTGTCTCTCTCTCTCTCTTTCTCTTTCTCAGTTTTTCAATCTGACTCTGACATGGTATCAAAGCCAGGTTACGATCTGATCTACGAGTGACTACTTCCTCACCTCTTTCTTATCTGCTATCTAGAGTACTCCCTAACAGTATTTGGGAGGCTCTTGAGTGTTCTTAAATCCAATTTCTAAAGCTACTTTTAATCAAAACTCAATAGACTTCGTTCTTGGACTACTGTGCCACCAAATTTCTCTTTCGGATTGGATCTCCCTCTAGAAGCATCGGATCAGGCTGTAACTTCAGATTTAATGTCGCCTAGGGTAGATCTACTGTTTCCAATTGGTTTGGTTTGAATCGGATTTGATCTAGAAGGGTTTTGAGACACTTCAGAGTTCGATAGACCCTTATAGTTTCCTTTTCTAGACAGACTGAAAGGTACTTCATTATTCTACTGTTTTGAACACTTTTCTCTATGGTTTTTCTTGCTCTTGTGATTCAATGGCATAAAAAAGAATAAAAGTTCTCCCCATCAAATTTAATGGTACGAACTATGCATTTTAGAAATTCAACTTCCAATTTCATGTTGAGGCGAAAGGTCTCTGGGATATTTGAATGGATCAGTAGTTAAACCTGATGATTCGGACATCAAGGGCCTTAAATAGTGGAGAACTGATAATGCAAAAATTGCATCTTGGATCTTAATATCCGTTGAAACTGACATTGCAATTCCTATAAGAGAATACAGGACTGCTTGTGAGATTTATGAGTATCTCGAAAGAGTATATCAGCAATCAAACACCTCAAGGCAGTATCAGATAGAGGTTGACATCTTCTCCTATTATCAAGGAGAAAGAAAGGTCCAAGAGTACTATGCTGGGTTTATTAACCTTTGGACCGAATATGAGCTTGTTCACATGGGGAATGATCATTCAGAATGTTGTGTGAAGTATATGAAGGAACATTTCGATAAAAGAAATATTATGCACTTCCTAATGCATCTCAAACCTGAGGGCCAAAACCAGATTTGCCACACAAACTACTCTAAATGGAAGGAAGGAGTCTAACATTGATACGGTCTTTCTAGCAACAAAACCAAAAGAGAAGAAGGACTTCTCTAAAATACAGTATTATGAATGTAAGGAGTTCGAACATGTTGTTTCTCACTGAAAGAAAAAGAATACATGCACCTATTGTAAGTAAGTTGGTCATGTTATCACTAAATGCCCCACTCGACCTCAGAAAAGTAGTGGATCAAATCAGAAGAAAGGAAGCTACAAGGCTTATTTGACAAGTGTAAATTGATCAAATGCAGCATCCTCCATTACTTATGTGACTGGGCAGAATGACACCTCAGGTAGCATGTCTGAAGAACGAATTTGACAGCTCATGTCCTCTATTATCTCTTCAGCCTTCTCTGCTATGGGCCTGTCTGGTAAGTCTCCTACCTATTGTCCCTCACTGAACCATCTATGGTACATTGACTCAGGAGCCTCTAACCATATGACAGGGACCACTCTTGGTCAATGTCCTAAACCCCATCTCCCCAATAAACACATTGCCACTATTAATGGTGAAAAATTAGATATATTTGGATGTGATGATTTATATTTATCTACTTCTAAGTCATCTCCATTTCATTTGTCCAAAACCCTATTTGTACCTAAGCTTACTGCCAATTTAATTTCTGTTGGCCAACTTGTAGAGGAAGGTAACAATGTCTCATTTACTTCTGATGGTTGTTTGATACAGGACCGGCAAACTAGGGAGGTGAAGGGGAAGGGGTGTAGACTGGGAAGATTCTTTGCTCTATAATTTGAGAAGAATAAAATTGTGCCTACTTCTACTTCATGTTTGATTTCTACTACTTCTATTTTTGAATCTGTTAATTGTAATAAAGATTGGCAGTTGTGGCATAAATGACTGGGCCATCCTTTCTCTAAGAAACTTGATCAATTGTTTTCCTTTGGTAGTTTACCTATTTCTAATGTTTCTGTTAAAAATGTGAATAAAGACTGCATTACTTGTGGCTTATGTAAGAGTCATATTTTTCCTTTTCCTTCTCATTTTGAACATGCAACAATCCCTTTTTATTTAATAGATAATGATGTTTGGTCATCTCCAATTGTCTCACGGATGGGTTTTAAATATTTTGTAACCTTTATTGATGACTGCACTCATTTCACTTGGGCCTATTTTCTTTGAAAGAAATCTAAAGTATACTCCGTATTTCAGCACTTTCACACCTATGTTACTACATAGTTTGATGCCCGAATTTGTGTGCTACAACCGGATTTAAGGGGAGAGTATATTGATGAAGATTTCCAAAACTACTTAAAACAACATGGAATTCAAACCCAAAATTCTTGTCCAGGCATCCCACAATAAAACGGGGTTGTAGAAAGGAAAAATGGGCATATCTTGAGTGTAGTTAGAACCCTTTTACAGGATTCCCACGTACCCTCTTGGTTTTGGGTAGAGGCGGCCAACACTGCTGTGTATCTCATAAATCATATTCCATCATCAGTTATGAACAACTCCTCTCCTTTTCAATCCCTCTTCCACAAATCCCTAGACCTATCCATGCTCAGAGTATTCGGATGTACTTGTTTTGTCCACCTTTGACCCCATGAACATACAAAGTTAACTACACAAGCAGCTTTGTGCACCTTTATGGGGTATAGCTCTGAACATAAAGGGTATCTTTGCTATGACCCTTTGTTTCATCATCTTCAAATTTCTTGTAATGTAGTTTTTCTTGAAAGTGTGTCATTTTTTGAACATATTGTGAAGTTCCCAACTCCTTCTGTTTCCTTCCTGCATAGTTTTGATTCTATAGGTACATCGGATACTTCATTGTCACCTCCGCAACAACTTCAGACCTACTTCAGGAAGCAACAACCTTCTTCAGTCTCCATCCCCCCTCTGCTCCACCTCCAGTTGCTAATCCAATCACTCCAGCTACCTCAATAAGTATTCAAGACCTTCCCTTTGAACCTATTGCTCCTATTTTACGTCGTTCCTCTAGAATTTCTCGTCCACCTAACCGTTATGGTTATTCATCAAACCATAGCTCATTTTTTGCCTTTTTATCTACCACAAATATTCCCAGATCTTATTAGCAGGCTATAGCAGAACCACACTGGAAAGATGCAATGGATTCTGAGATTCGAGCTCTTCTGGAGAATGACACATGGGACCTAGTCAAAGCTCCACTAAGATCTCTCTCATAGGAAGTCGATGGGTCTATTCTGTGAAACTAAAATCTGATTGGAGCCTAGATAGATACAAAGCTAGACTTGTTGCATAGGGTTACAAATAGGAATATGAGATAGACTATGAGGAGACTTTTGCTCCTGTAGCTAAGATGACCACTATATGACTTTTGATGGTTGTGTCTGTAGTCAAACAGTGGGCAATTCATCAGATGGATGTCAAGAATGCTTTTCTCCATGGGGAATTGAAAGAGACAGTTTACATGAAGCCTCCTTTGGGATATTGTACAGATCTGCAGCTTGTTTGTTGTTTGAAGAAGTCACTTTATGGCCTAAAAAAAGCTCCTAGGTCTGGTTTGAGAAGTTCAGATTTGTCATCACTGATGTTGGCTTTATTCAGAACCTTCTGATTACTCCTTCACCCTACAGTGGAAGCAAGGAGTAACGATATTACTCTTTTATGTTGATGATATACTTATTACAGAGGATGACATAGAAGGAATTTCTAGGCTACAACAATTACTCAGTGAATCCTTCAAGATGAAGGACTTGGGACCGTTGACATATTTCTTAGGCCTTGAGGTGAATAGAAATTCTCGTGGCTACTTTGTTAATCAACAGAAGTATGCGGCTGATCTGGTTAAACTGGCAAATCTTAGTGATTATAAGATTGTGGACACTCCACTAGAACTGAATTTGAAACCCAGCAAAGATGATGGGTCTCCCCTTGAAGATACTACCCTTTATCGTCAACTAGTGGGCAGTTTAATCTATCTCACCATGACTCAGTCGAGCATATTTTATGCAGTTCAGATAGTAAGTCAGTTTGTGTCTTCTCCGAGACAACCATGTTTATCTGCAGTTCATTGGATTATAAGATATGTACGGGGCACACTGCCACATGGGATATTCTTCTCCTCATCATCTCCCATTCATCTTATGGCCTATGCAGATGCTGATTGGGCTGGATGCCCTGACACCGACGGTCCACAACTGGCTGGTGTGTCTTCCTAGGCAACTCCCTTATCTCATGGAAATGCAAGAAACAAGCTATTGTGTCCAAATCTTCCACTAAAGCTGAATACAGGGTTATATCTTCCGAGTGTAATGAGATCATATGACTTCGGGCTCTTCTATTTGAAATACTAAGTGAGCCACCATTGTTTGTTCCTCTTTATGCAGACAACATCAGTGCAATCAAATTTGCATCACACATAGAAGTCGATTGCCATTTCATTCGCAATCTCCTTCTTAAGGGTACCATATCTCTCCTTCATGTCTCCTCCAAGCTCCAACTGGTAGACTTGTTAACTAAAGCAATGACACGGGCTCGACATCTATTTCTCATGGACAAACTGATGCTTATTCCTGATCTAGTCGTAGGGCTATTTTTGTACTTTTACTTTTATTTTTTGTATATCTCTCTTTGTATTATATCTCTCATGTATATTAAGGGCAAATTTGTACTTTGATTTTAGTAGATGGTTAATAAAGAAAATTAAATGATACTTGAGGGTCAATTTTGTCTTTTCACATGCCACATAATAGCTCGTTAACAGTAGGTACTAAATTATCGTGTTTTGAAAGTTCAAGTACTAGATTGTCACATTTTAAAGTTTGGGGACCAAATTGTCACTCTAGCCAAGGTACAGGGTATTGATAAGGAATTTCCCAAAAAAAAAAAACAACTCTTTATACTTATATTATAATAAAACCCAATTTCATTTTATATGGTAAAGTTTTATGTTTTACCATGTACAAATGCCATTACAAAGTGGTGCAATTTACCATAAATGGAGACATCATTGGTCCCAACTAGTTGAACCAGCCTTGGGTAGTAGGGGTGTAAATGGATCGAATCAAGCAATATCCAAATTCGAATCCAATTAGAAAATTTGATATTTGAATTCAATTTGATATCCAATAGATATTGAAAATTAATATTTCAATATCTGTTTCAAATCAAATTCGACCAATTAATTATTTTAGGTAATTAATAAATATATAAAATAAATATTTTATTTATATAAATATATTAATTATTTATATAATTTAATTATTATATATAATTATATAAAATATTTAAATATTTCATATATTATATATAAGAATTAAATAATTGATCAAATTGAATCAGGTCATATCCGAATTCGGATCCGATTAACTAATTAGTATGAATAGGATATCTGAATTCAACTAATTATAATATTCAAATTATCTGAATCTGATTTGATTATATTGAATTTTGAATTTAAAATCAGATTTTTGAATACCATTGACACCCCTATCATGTAGCCAACTGAGTCACAGATTTTGGACACTTTTAAATGTTACAACGGGCGGACCACCTAGTTAAACCAGCAAACTGATGAACCAAACAGTTGATTGGGTCGATATCAGTGAAATGGAAGGTTTATATGCATATATTCACAAAAACGCTTCAATGGTTGAACCAAAAAATTGGACATTTTTCCATCTTTCTTCTTATGTTTTATAACGAAATAATCATGTTTATGTGTATAAAATTAAATAAAATATATATATATAAAGGAAATTTATGATTTATGAAGCCCTCCATGTGCCTTGCACGTGAAGGCTTAATTAGTGTATTATTAAAGAGTGATTTTGATTTAAAGCAATGCAGGTCATATTTGGCGGGTGTAGACCACTGTTTTCAAAACTGGACCGGACCGGGAACTAGTCACCTGACCGGTTCCATTTTCCTCCAAAACCATTTTTCCCCTAAAATCGTTGATTTTGATCTGAACTGGCCGGTTAACCGTTCGAATGGTTTTGACCGTTTTTAAATTTTTTAATTTTTTTTAATTTTTTATTTTTTTATCAGAACGAGCCGGTCGTTTGGGTCAAACGGTCAGACCGTTCGAACGAACCGATAACTAGACCCCTGAGCAATTCTGTCATCGGTTCGTTTTTAAAAACCATGGTCTAGACATAACAGACCACCTTCTTCCATAGCATTGCATTAGAGAGAGAAGGAGAAACTTCCCCAAAATGAATGAAGAGAACACATTTCCTACGAATCCAGGTCAGTGCTTTAATGTTTAATCCGACACCGGCTTGACGTGATATTGTTGTCTTTTTCACCGAAATTACAGGGGGTGGTATCCTGCCATAGTGGTCGCAGGAAATGTATTCTCCAAAATCAACTGCCTAATGAGCCATGAGGAGTCATCTCTGATCTCTCATGGTGTTCGGAGTTATTTCATTATTACTGGTTTGGTCTAAAGAATAATTTCAACCAATATTCTTATACTTAAAAAGATAAAATAAGAACCTAAGTTAGATAACATGTCATGCATTCCAATCACGCATATGTGGGATTTGAATTTTAAATTCCGGATTGCAAATCCAACCCGACAAAATCCCACATTCCGGATCATTTTCCAAAAGTCCATCATGCAAAACCTCAGAATCAGGCCACTGATGAAATATGAAATCAGGTCAGACTATAGATCTGCACATAGAATCCCATTATCCCAACAAATGCCTTTAATTCTGGCTAAAACTGGATTTTGGGCTGGTATCAAATTTTAGAATCTCATCTATTATAAATAATAATAGGATATGGTGGATGGTGGTTTTGGTCCAATTCGGTCCAAAATATTTATTAGATTGGACTGGACCTGGTCCGCCCGTAACAAATTTATATTGGATTGGGTTGTATTAAGCAAATATCTGGTCCATTGATATAAAATAAAAATATTTGTGTTCAATAGACTGAATTTAGATTGAAACCAATGTAAATCAAAATGAATTTGAACAGATTGGACGGTCCAGACATTGAATTGGATCGATCCAAATTAGTCCAAAACATTCATTGGATTGAATTGGACCTGATCCATTTGTAATGGGCTCACATTGGAGTGGATTAGATTGGACCAAATCCAGTCCAATTGACACCCCTATTTCCAACAATATAAATTTTCCCATTTTACAAAATTGAACTAAATTTTATGTCCTAATAGTTTAAAGGAAACAGTAATTGTTCAACTTGTGCAAGTATCCACATGGCCGTTTGAACTTTGAACCATTACTCAACCTAGACATCACCCAAAGTATCCAAAGGGTGTCAATGGGCCGTGTATCGAGGGGTCCAGCCTGGGGTATCCATATTGGTGTAAACATATATATATTGGATGCACGTGCACCCATACAAGACTTTTTTGAAAACTTTAAAATAAATAGTGGGACCCTTTAAAACTTATAAAATTTAAAAATAAAAAATAAATAATATCGATATACATCAATACCCACTTGAGAATATCGGACAGATTAATATTTTAATCCTTAGGATAGATTAATAAAAAATCTTGGCTCCGCCCCTGTTTATCCTCCCTCAATGTGAAAATGGATGAAAAAAGAATTAACAAATGAAAAATAATAAGAAAAGAGAAAAAAAAAAGGCACTTCAAATTTATACAAGTTTTGTTTAGAAACAGAAAATCGATCATCAAAGAAACCCAAGAACCCTGCTTACAAGGGAAAGGGCCGTTCTTCAGGGACTAATCAAAGAAAAAGGGACGATCAAGGATCAAGGTATGACAGGCCACCAATCCACATCTACATGCAAAAGAACAGAATGCTTGTACCTTCTATCCATTTCATTGGGTTTAGAAACTAAATGATGAATTTATTTTGTTTTATAGAAAAAATATTTTTATAGTAAATGTACCGATGTTTCTTTTTTTTCTTGGTGAAAGTACCGATGTCTTACAGCTTCAGCTCACTGGTCTGACACTAGATAGACCCAGATTAATCCTCTCCAGCTCAATCTGAATGTAGCTTTTACCACAATCAAATTCAAATGATTAGACAAGCCACCCTCAAATATGGGGTGGTGGAATTCATGTAATTAAACCGGTTGTCATAAGAACTTCCATCTGATGACATCTTTAAAATCAAATAATCCTCACTAGCAATTATGATTTATGAATTATCTAATAAAACATGAACAAATTCATGGTAGTTCAACACAATAACTAAATATTGCATCAAACAAGAACAAAACTCACGAAAACAAAATTGCCATGCCACTTGAATGATCGATTGCCTGTACTTGAAACAAATTCAAACCCCCTTTGTTTCAGAAGGATAATGGGGAGATTCTTCTATCTGATCGGTAGAATTGGATAACAGATTAAGTTCTTGTTCTTGATGCCAAGTCAGTTCTGAAAGGATACTGTAAATCTTTGAAATCACTTAAAGCAGCCTCCAACATGGTTCAATCATGATTTGCCATTGGAGGAGTGCATGCTTGCTATTAGGATGAGGACAGGAGCATAATGGAAGTCACTATCAACAAATAAGCCTTCAATCGCACCTAATCCCTAAAAGTTTGGCAGTGAGCTCCCATGCAACAATTGCAGCAGCATTTGCAGGAAATGCTCTTACTAATGTGGGACCAATGCCAGTGTAGCAACCTTTAATTCCCTTCATCCTGTATATCTACAGAAACAGTTCTGATAAGAATGTGTCATAAGGTGGTTTGAACATCCAGGATTCCAGAGGAGGGGGGGGGAAGAACTACATATTACCGAGCTCAGTATGCGAAATGGATTTCTACTAGAAGTTGAATCGGGTGCAGTCTGAATAACAGTCTTTGCCACATCAAAGGGTAGAACCACGGACCAGTACTGTCAAGAAGACCAAATATTGTCAAATCCAGTCTCATATGATTCTTATATGCATTAAGTTGTCAAGTACTTACTG